TTTGGCCTTGGCTCGAAATCTTTTTCTTGTTTGAGATCAACGTTGTCATCTTCATGATAACTAGATACATTTGGCCTTGGCTTGAAATCTTTTTCTTGTTTGAGACCAACATTGTCATCATCATGATAACTAGATACATTTGGCCTTGGCTTGAAATCTTTTTCTTGTTTGAGACCAACATTGTCATCATCATGATAACTAGATACATTTGGCCTTGGCTTGAAATCTTTTTCTTGTTTGAGACCAACATCATCATCATGATAACCAGATACATTTGGCCTTGGCTCGAAATCTTTTTCTTGGTTGATACCAACATTGTCATCATCATGATAACTAGATACATTTGGCCTTGGCTTGAAATCTTTTTCTTGTTTGAGACCAACATCATCATCATGATAACCAGATACATTTGGCCTTGGCTCGAAATCTTTTTCTTGGTTGATACCAACATTGTCATCATCATGATAACTAGATACATTTGGCCTTGGCTTGAAATCTTTTTCTTGTTTGAGACCAACATCATCATCATGATAACCAGATACATTTGGCCTTGGCTCGAAATCTTTTTCTTGGTTGATACCAACATTGTCATCATCATGATAACTAGATATATTTGGCCTTAGCTCGAAATCCTTTTCTTGTTTGAGACCATCCTCTTCATTATGGTAACTATATACATTAGGAATTGGCTCAAAAGATGATTTGTGACAATCGATTTTCTCTTTATGTGGCTGAGGCATAAGATGTTGGATTGCTTTAGGCATTGGCTCATCTTTCATCACATCTCTCCAGTATTCTCCAGGGTCTTTTCTTGCATCAGTGTACTGCCCAAAAGTGTGAAAAAATTGTTTAATCCCAAGCTATATATATGGATTAATTAATTCTTTATGATTACATAGTTCATACATGGCATAATATATGAAGATACATTAAAAAGTTTGTCTAAGCAGACACGTAAGTACTCCAATTTTGAGAGTACATGTACATCGATCTAGACTTCTCAGCTTGGTCTCAACTGTCAAATAAACAATCCAACCCATCCTCATTGTGTCTCGTAGACACTCGACTTTAATGTGACACATATACTCTGAAGGTGTCTACATGACCAATATCTTGTAAGTTGGAATGTTCAAAATTGAAGTGTTTACATGAAATAATGTCAAATTTGAGTGTATGTTATTTATGTATCAGTGGAATTTAATTAAATTTCAGAAATATATCAATATTCATGTTACATATATAGATGAATGATTCTTGTAAGTAGATTAATTAAGTCCCTAACTAAATGGGCTAAAGCTGCTAGGTAATTTGTTGAAAAATTAATCAAATGTCAATTATGCTAGCTAATTAAAAAGCAAAAATGGATTCTTTTTAATTTGACTTGTAACCATGATGTTCGAAGCCAATTTACGTACACCTCTTCTGATTCTACGAAATATCTATCACCTTCCACTAACAGCATATATCAAAAACTTTATTCAGTACAACTGAGAACACATACCAGGGCAAGTGAAAAGAGC